CAATGTGGGAGTTCTTCATTTCACACCGCCCTCAAAGCGTTTGAGGCCTCAGACACAAGTGGTCACTATTAATTTATTATTTTTTATTACCCACCACGCGGACTTTTAAATGGCGCGTAGGTGTGGAACCCCGTTCTGCTACACACATCCCCTGAGATAAATAAACAGACAAAATAGTTTGATGTTGCAATTGGGAATTCATCCAATCCAAAGACATTGTATTGGATTCGCTATTCATATTTTTTGTAGCATTTTTGAGAAAGGTCAAAGATGATTTCAAAGATTGGAAGTCCGGTGTTTCCCTCCAAGCGAATTAATTTTGCTGAGGCACTTGAAATTTGTTCAGTGGTTTTCATACAGGAATTACATTTTCCTTTCAAAATCATTCCTACCAACCCCTAAGCATTTCGTTATAAAAATTATTCACATATAATAGAATGAGAATAAAACCAGCTTCCCACATATTGCCATTTACTCATCTTTTTCAACTGCTATGCCTACCCAGAGTTTAATAAAACTGTTCCAACTAAGGTCAAAGCCCAAGAGAGAAAACTTAAGGGAATCTCCAAAAAATTTCTAATTATACAGAAAAAACAGGGTGGACAAATTAAGTGCTGATATTCTTTTTTATTCTGAAGACTCCAGACAGGAATTAGAATGAAGCTGTTAAAACTGGGAAATTGATTTTAAAAAGTTATTGCACTAAGAATGTACCTTATGAATTGTGTTAGTCTCAAGTATCATTGGATACAAACATTATTCCAAGTGAAATACTGGGATTTTCTCTTTTACCTACTCATAAAACTCAGGGGCGTTCTTCAGCGGCAAGATTAGAAGACAGAAATTCCTGAGCCAGTTTTGCTCACATACTACTGATTATTCATTTATACATTTTGAAAATTAATACAGTTTTATTAAACAAAAGGGAAAAACGAAGTATATGTCATGTGGAGGATGTGGAAATGATGCTTTAACTGAATAATGCTTTGGGGGATTTCAGTGTTTTTTGAGAAGTTCTGTGCAGTTACTGAGAATTGGGTTAGGTGGTATCTCTACTCATTGCTGATGTGACAAAGCACAACAATCACCTGCATCTGGGATCGCATCATATTTCCTGTTTTGAGGCTCAGCTTGCGACTATTGATTAATTTATCAAACCTTAAATGCTCAGTTTTGTTGCTGGATATTTACCTGAGGTTTTTTTTATTTAAATCCCTGTGAGGTTTGGCAGATCAATCACAGATAAATTGTCTGGGGTTGCAGTTGTTTGTATTTAATTACATTTCTAAAGTTATGATGCTGTTATCCTGAGTATTTTTAGGAGCCTATTACTGCAGTGTCTTTCTGGTTTACATGCTTGATCTTAACATAACTCTTTTTCTCTGTTTTGTTTGTTTTCTCCCTGTTTCTGGACATAGGTACAGCCTCACTGTTTGGACAGGAAAGGAAGATGTGTATTCTGTAGAAGACTTGCTTCTCATCCGAGAAAATTTTGATAAAAGTAGGGTTTATTATGACATTTTTGAACCACAAAATTCTGAATTCAAAAAAGCCATTGGAATAGAATAGTAGATGCAAAGCAGGCAATGCCTGACCCTATAGCACTTTACATTGTAAACCCCTTTAAATGTGAGGATATTTTTTATTCAAAGAAACACAATTTCCCTGCCAGAAGGGCTGGGTTGGGCACGCCTGTGGTTGCTGGAGGAGTTTTGGTTTGGCACTGTGTAGAAAGGCCTCTCAATCAGAAATGCAGAAATCGGCGCCTTCCCCATTGTCCCTGCTCGCGGCGTGGGACCCTGGTGCCACCCTCCAGGAGGGGGGATGGCGCTGCCAGCTGCTCTGCCGTGGTCACTGTGCCCTGGCAGTGCCAGGCAGTGCCATGGCCAGCGAGCAGCCCTGTGGTGGCAGCAGGGACAGCGCTGTCCCCAACCCGGCCTGCAGGGACATCCCCAGGCCCTCAGGTGGGCGATGGCGGCGCGGCCCTCACTGGGCCCTGCAGCTCTCAGGATTGTCCACAATGTGAAAACCCAATAAAAGCCAAAGCCCTGCTAAGCATCTGCAGGAAGAGCCTGACCTGGTTCATTAACACCATTTATTGCCTCTTTTGCTGCTGCAATTCCCCAAAATTGACACGGACTGAGACACTGGCCCTGTGGGATTGGCTTCTGCCAAACACCACAGACGGTAGCAGAAATACCAAAGGTTTCTTCCACAATCACAGAGGACATCTTAGCTTCTGAGTAAAAGCCAATGCCCTGAGAAGCATTACTTCCTCAACTTCTTGTCCTCCTTTTCCTGCTCCCCTCACATGGCTCCTGTGCAAATTTTCTTAACTCATCTGTTAGCCTAACAGATACTGTACACGATATTTTACAGGCTGTTAGTACTGAAGTAAATTACAATCATTTTTACTGCTCTTACATGGCATTGGTACAGCTGTGATAGAAAAGTTAGTTACATTTCTTAATCTTACATTTTGAATTATCGTGATCTCACGCTAAAATTCAAGACTCCCTTTTGTAACCGACTACTCCTTTGAGAGATTTATCCAATAGTGGTTTTCTCGTATTGAGGGGTAGAGCTTTCTTCATTTTGGTCTCCTACTAAGCTGTGCTTGACCAAAACTTAGGAAAAGATTGTTCCACATAAGGAAGAAAACTACCTGATTATACTTGAGATAACTAAACAGAGTACTTGATTTAATTTAATCACCCATAAAGTGAGTGGCAGTAACCACCGAAGGGTCAGGCTTGGCTGTGTGATTTCTGCAGTGAGTCTGGAGAAGAGATTAATTCTTCAGTTGTGGTTTGTTGCAGGCAGTTGCATTCATTGATTTGCAGGATTCCATCTCTCAGTGGTAGGCCTCTTAGGGACCACAGGCACACATTTCTCTGCAGCTTAGAAATCCTCCCACTGACCAGTTCCCACCTGAAGTACTGGCATTTGTTACAACTCATTAAACTATTAAGTAAAAAGCACCAGCAACTGCCAGAAGTATTTTTAAAGAAGAAGTATATCTGAGCAATACCTGTGGATGTCAGTAAACGGGATAATCAGGTGAAATTAAAGAAGACATCATCTGGATTACCAGGAAATGACTATGTGGTGAATTTGATTGTTCTGTATGGATTATTCTATGTGTATGAATTTCTGTAAGTAATTTTACCTGTGTATCTTTGCTAGTCCCCTGTGAAGTTGTTTATGTCAGTCTGGTCTGACTTGCACAGAAATAAATTAATTTGATTTTGTTTCTCTGTGTTTATTCAAATGCTCTCCTAAAATAAAATGTGTTGCTGTGGGGCTGGCAGGGGGACATTAATGTGGTTTTAAAATATATGTACAGGTCAGGTTTATTTTTAAAAACCAAGACGTTTTTGAGAGAAGGCAGGCTTTAACTCACTCTGCCTGTGAAACTCTCATGAAAGCACTCAAAATTGCTGATGCTTTCGGGGAAAAATACTGGAATTTACTGCAGTTCCTCAGCGTGCCTCTGTGTCTGGGTTTCAGGAACTTGAGAATAAGTAGCCTCGTGTACATTTCTAGAAAATATCTCTGATGTTCAGCATAAGATCCCAGCACCATTTTTCACTATCTGGACATAATTTTTGGGACAAAACCCCTGGATTAACAGGAGCTCTGCAGCTGCCTGCGTCATCAGTCCAGGAGATGCCTGGCTCAGGTAACAGGTGCTGCTGAGAAACAGGAATTTTGCATATTTATACATATACATATATATGTGTGTATATATATATCTGTGTGTTGGGAAGCTTTTTCACAAAAAAGGTCAACTTGTGTACAGGAGTAAAAGAAGCATTGTCTTTCCAAGAGGGTTGACAGCTGGGTGTTTTATGGGAATATTAAGTGATTAATTAATTATCACTTAATTAATTAATTAATTAAACTGGAATTTTATCCTTTTGACACTGAACCCCCCTCCACCAGCTTTCTTAAGGTGTTTCACTATGAAACCTGATTCCCTTGAAGTTAGTGCAGTGGCAGTAGTACTTTACAGTAAAAATGTAAGAAAATTTGTAAATCCCTTGCTTTAGTTGGGAAAGTGGTTAGTTCTGCTGTATATGGCATGCAGAGAGATTACGTGGGATTGATGAGGAGAAAAAAGAGAATTTAGTGTCTACTTAGTTTACTGTTTTTCTTGTATAGCTGCATCAAATTATGGCAATATTCTTTTGCAAGTGCTGTGTAGTTGTAAAAGACAAAGATCACAACAAAGCAATTACTCCTTAAAAGCAAAACCAAATTAAATGTGCGGGGAAAGATATTTTGAAGCCTTAAACACAACCTTGAAAACTGCTGGTTTACGACATTTTTGTGCAGCGACTTGCTGCTCTTAAATCTCTTAAATGGGAGTTGTTATACAATCAGTGCTTTTTGTGAAGCCTCCACTGTTTGTTCCGAAGTTCCTTTCACGGTGCGGTTCCGCAGCCCTTTCTGCAGAGGGCACAAGGCGAGAAGGGAGGAACCCGAGCTGTTTCCCCCTTTCCCAGTGCTGCAAGGTTTTTGTTTGTCAGCCAGGCTTGAGCATCGGGCGCTCTCGGGGTCGGGCTGACCGTGCTGCGCTGAAAGAACATCGGGAAATGTCATGGATTCAAAGGCAACACAAGTGCATCTCTGCTCTCCGCGAGTGGAGCCGCAGGAAGCTTCCGGCAGCAGCAGAGAGCCTCTCTCGCACCGCGCTCTGGACAAATTTAGCTTGTATTGGATTAAATCGAAGTAACTGTTCCCATTTTCTTGTACAGAGGCAGCCTGAGAAACCCTTCTGAATGAGTACCTTTTGCAATGACTCATCGTTTCCTGAGTAGTGAATAAAAGCATGTGCTTATTTCCATGTTCCCTCTGAGGGGGAAAAATAACTTTTATTTATTCAGCATAACAACAGCAAGAGAACAAAGCTTTTTCCTCTGAAGGTCACTTGTAACAGTAACACAAACAATAATATCAACACTTCACACTACTTTGCATCACAATTAATCACACAACACTGGTAATACTACCAAAAAACTTCCCTTTTCAAGACACTTGCTACTTCCCTCCATTGTCTGAGCATTTAATAGAAAAATTACGGTTTTATTGAAGGGAGCCATAGTCCCATATACATAATTAATTTTAAAATCAAAACAGCAGAAATTGGGCTTTATACCCTTATCAAAGCTACCGGTTGGCATACCTGGTGATAGGCAATTTCTTCTAAGAAATCATTTTTATTTTTTAAAGATCTATTTTCCCTTTCAAATATTTAACTTCACTATGAGATGGACAGTTGAGAACTTGGCATTTCCTTTTGTATTATCATAAAAACATTAGGAAAGTGTAATCAGTGTAGGGACTAATTTGTACCCAGTTAATACTGACATATGTTGTTCCATATAATTTCTGTATCTTAAAAATATGTCCACGTAATCATTTTTTGTACCTGGTGTACAGAGGGCCTGATCCAGGAAAATTTCCTGAAGGAAAAGGCAGAACCTGAATGGAAACAAATACTCCCAAAAAGTAATTTACAGAGAGTATATGTTGATAATCCCCTTGAAATGGTTTAATGTTTAGAATCCCCATTAAATTGTTTTATGGTGATGATCCCCATTAAAAATTTTTATGATTGTGATCCCCTTCTAATTGTTTTATGTCTCCGATCCTCCTTAAATTGGTTTGTGTTTAAGATCCCCTTACCACTGTTTTTTGGTTAAGATCCCCGTTACATTGTCTCCTACTAAGTGCAAAGCTAAATAACATTACAGGCTTCTTTTATGCAATGTCAGATTTGATGAACTTTTTGACTGAAGCTGCAACATACCCACTGAGTATTTTCAGGAAATAAATACCTAATTTCTGTATATTGAATTTCACATTACACAGACACAATTTCAACACAACTAATTTCTGTAACTTACAACAAAACGGAACACATCCACTTTTTCTCAAAATTTAGAAGATGAGATCTAAACGCAATACCAGAATCCCAGCATCTATGGGATGCACACAAAGACAAGGGAGATACTTGGAATCACAAGACACTAAAGGAAAGAAAGATTTTTTAGATAGAGATACTTAAAAATACACAGTAGCTCGGAGGGACTGCTTTCCACTTGTAGGAAATTCAGCCCTCTGTTTCAAATTCGGCAGAATGTGGGTTTCCATCTCCCAGGTGAGTCTGACAATCACACTCACAGGATCACAGAGTGTTTTGCGTTGGAAACCATCTGAAATGAAAGCCCATCTCGCTGCAAGGCCCCTGCCATGGCAGGGACGCCTTCCACTCGACCAGGCGGCTCCAAGCCCCTGGAGCACTCCCAGGGACGGGGCAGCCACAGCTCCTCTGGGGAAGCCGTGCCAGGGCCCCGCCGTCCCTGGAGCTGTTGGGTTTTCTGTTTGGGGTCTGTGTGAGCAGGGGGAC